CTCTCTCCTCAGTCATTCTCTCGATCTCTCGTCTCACATCTCTCTCTTACGCTCTCTCTCTCTCTTTACTTCTCTCTCTCGTCACTCACTCTCGTCTCTTCTCACTCTCTCTACTCTCTCTGCTCTGGGGTGCCCTCTCTTGATCACGTCTCTCTCATCTCCTCCTCTCTCCTCCTCTCCTCTCTCTCTCTCTCCCCTCTTCTCCTCTCATCCTCTCTCTCCTCGATCTTCTCTCTCTCTCTTCTTACCCTTTTCTCATGCTCCCTGGCCCCATCTCTCTTCTCTCTCTCTCCGATCTCTCTCTCCCATTTCTCTCTCTCATCGCTCTCGTCTTCTGACCTACTCGCTCTCTCCTCTCTCTCTCTCGCTCTCACCACACCACTCTCTTCTTTCTCTCCTTCTCTCTCGGCCGCCCCTCGGTCTCGTCTCTCTCTTACTGTACCCTCTCTCTCTTGCGGCGCGCGCGCCAAGGATCTCTCTCACAACACACCTTCTCTCCTCATCCTCTCCCAAATCTCTGTTCTTTCACTCCACTCGTTCGTTTCTCGTCTCTCCACGCGGAGCACCGAGCGCGGTCGTCTCTGTCCTCCTCTCTACCCTCCCTTCCTTCCGCTCTCCTCTCTCTGTCCCATTTTACTCTACCTCTCCTCCTCTCTTACTCTCTCTCTTGCTCGCTCTGCGTCTTCCGTCCCCGATCTTCTCCCCTCCTCAAATGCCTTCTCTCGCTCTCCCAAGCCCCAACTTCCCCGGTCCCGCTCTCGATTCCTCTTCTCCTCTCTCTCTCTGCTCTCTCCACTCATCTTTCTCTCTATCGGCGGATCCAGTCTCTCTTATCTCTCCCGTCTCTCTTCTCTCGTCTCCTCTATCTGCAACTCTCGGTCGTCTTCTCTCTCTTACTTCTCAATCTCTCATCTCTCTCTCTCTCTTCTCTCCCCTCTCGTTTTCTCCTCTCTCTCTCTCTCCCGTCCTCCTTCCTCTTCTCATCCTCCTCTCTCCCTCTTACTG